TGCGTCCAGGCAAAACGCTCGAGTCCACGACACTCCTGTGCGTCGTGCTGATGCCGCCCGTCTTCGCCAGACCGCGCATGCACAGATAGGCTGAAAATGTGTTTCAGCGTTTGCCTCACGACCCCCTCTATAATAATAAACCAACAATGGAATCCAACCCCGGGTGCGTTCTGACCAGCATTTGGAGGCGAATCCGGCGGTGGCGACCAGGGTCTCCCAGGAGGCTCAACAATGGCGAAACGAGGCAGGGGTAGCAGTATTGGGTACCTCTTCCTCCCCTGGCGATAGCGAATTCACATGCTGGTGGGCCAAGCGTACGAATAACGGGCAAGTGAGGGTCGCCTAAGTGAACCATTGTCCGCTCACGCATCCTGCTGGATGCTTGGCTTCGGATCCCGTGGCTTACGGATCATAAGTCAAGTGTCGCGCGGCCCGTGGCTTACGAATCATGAGTCAAGTGTCGCGCGGCCGTTTTGGGCGATCCCAACTCCAGACGTCTCTCGGCAAGGCGCAGCTTCTGAAACGCATCCCGAATCAGAAAGCCTTTCCAGGACTAGCGGGAAGCTCCGAAAGCGGCCCGCTCTCCTCCTAACCCTGAGATCCGAAACCGACAGAAAATACGACCTCACGAAGAATCACGGCCAAACCCCTGGGCCTCCTCTTTCCGCTGTATTCTTCAAGTCGGATCGATCCGTGAAGGTCCGGGGGCCCGAAGCGAGGCAAAATCGCCCGCTGCGACAAAAGTGCGACGTCAAAACCTCAAGAATTGGGGACCGATCGACCGCTTTTCCCTGGGCACTTGTTCGCGCGTCCAGGGACGACGTGTGGCTGTCGCGGGGCCTGCCCCATCCAAAACCTCCAAGAACGAGCGGAAACATCGGAACACTGCCATTCGCCTCCTATCGATGCCGCCGCCCCTGACTGTAACTCCTGCATGTGGAGCTCCAGCGTCTCGACGGCTGCCTGGTGTTCCGTGGCGAGCCGTGTCATCGACACCTCTGGGGGTACCAACAAGTACGGATACCGCCACTCCCTGGACCTCTTCCGGGGTTCGGTTCGATCAGAATTTCGAAGCGACTCTAATGGTGTCGACGAGGGCCTCCCAGGAGGCCCAGAAACGGGAAAACAAGGAAGAAACGGTTGGGGGTATGGGTGCCCGTTCCTCCTCTGAGCCTCGGCGTCCTCGCTGAGCCTCTCTAGCCGCCCCTCCAGCTGCGCCGCGCGCCGCTCGCGGTCGGCGAGCTCCTCCTGGAGTTCCTCTTGCCTGAGGAAAATCGTTTGTCCGGTCCCCACCCCAAAAGGCTTCATGCGTCGCGCCGAACGAGACGCGAGTAACTTCGCTTTCCCGCGCCGCCCTCCCAGACTAGAAAAATAGATATCAGGGTGGATGTGAAAGATGTAAGCTTTCTGCATAACAAATCAACGCAGATATTCCAGCGGGCGCAAAACCATGTCCTGCAAAGGGCGGCGGAAAAACGGCCTAAGCAAAAAACGGGGTGCAACAAAAAAGCTACCGTTCGAGTCTGGTGCTCAAGCTAGACTGTTGTGCCGCGTTGGTCCCCCCTGCGCAAGCCACGCAAGAAACGGCGACGCAAAAAACTGAACTGCGCCAGGGTGCTCTACTGACTGCGCCGTTAACACTTGCCTGCAGTGGGCGCCGAAGTGATCGCGGCCAAGAAACTACTGCTGGAAATCAAGCAGAACTCTTGCTGCTCAGATGACACAAACAACTGGAACAGCACGCGAACGAATGTTCAAATGCCACATAATCCTTGGCCGCGGATGCCCGCGACCCCGACGATCTGGTGGCTGTTGGGTAGGTCGACCCGTGTACCGGTGAGCAGAGATGTGTTACGGTGGTCGACCTTGTGACACAGTCGCACAATATTCCTCTTTCGCTGCTTGGTGAAGGAGCTGCACTGGGCGCTCCGGGCGGCCAGCCTCCTCTTCTCGTCTCTGAATTTGACCGTGTCATGGTCGTGGACAACCAAAATGCGTTCCTCCTCATCTACCTGGCCCCGCCGTTCGGCCAAACTGCATCCGGAAAGTCGTCGGTGGCATTGGGCTGCCGTTGATGGGACTTCCCTGGATCACGACAGCTAGCGGCCATTCGTCAACGCATTTGCGCGCCACGCCGGTGAAGCGCGACGAGACGTAGGCCGTCTGGCCGAGACGAGACGAGTCGAAGTTCGCCACTGACCAGATCCTGACCTCGCGCACGCACTGCAGGAAAGGAGCTCGAGCTTGCTGTTCGGGCCCACGAATGCGTTGGTGTCGCGTGTTGCCGCTGCTGCCGCCTGCGCCCCCGCAGGGGAGGCACGGGTGTTGATGGCAACCGTGCCGCCTTGGTGATGGAGGCCGGGGATTCACCAGCGGCATCGCTCGGGAAGTGTGCGTCGGACGCGCCGTGGACACTTGCCCCAAATATGTTCCTTTTCGTCTGCGCATTGTGTGTATGATTCCGTCATGTGGCTGGAATGCCCTCGGGTTTTGGAACATCCCTAGGCATCCCGCGACACAATCGGGGAATGCTCCTCGCGCGTCGCGTTAGCACTGCGCTGAGCACCGCCAACTGCACGATCGTCGAGAAGAGTGCGCATCGGGCCCCAATCCTGCTAAGCGGATTGGAATGTGCGGGGGAAATAAGAACACATGCACAAGGGGTCGACAAATTTTCCCAGATCCGGTTCGTCTCCCCTCGGTGCGCCGGTGACAGAGTCGCCAGACCCTCCATGCATCCCCGCTGTTCTCTGCTCGCTGTTCTCTGTTCTCTGTCTCGTGACACCGTCACCAAAAGTCCGGAACTCTCATACGACACCGTACATAGATGTGATCGCAGTGTCGCGCTAGAGTCTGCTATTTGCGGCTGCGCCCACAGGCGGGCGCATTGACGGCCCAAGGTCCGCGAGCTGCGCGGAAACAGTCATTGCACACCTGGGAAGGGTCGCTGCAAGCTCCGGCGCGCCACGACGTTCGTCGTCGTCGTCGGCGGCGCGGTCGGGGTCCTTGCTCGTCTCGGCGACGGACCTGTTGAAGTAGGTGCGCGCCGTTCCCGCCACCAGTCCTTGCGAATGGGCGGCTGCCCTGACGGACCCTATGGAGTCACGACTCATGCCATGGCGAAAGGGAAGAAGCGCACGAAGGTGATAATTAAAACAGATGTACAGCGCGGTGACCAGCGTGACGGGTAGCTGGATGTATAACGGCGGAAGGTTGAGTTAGAGCCGGTGCCATCGAAGCAAAACAAGCCATGGCAACAATGGTTTTGGAACCGAAGTTCCGCTACCAACTAGAGTAATGGATGGTAAGCGGAACAAAAAACACTTTCCGCAAAAGGCGGCGGAAGCATGGCCAAGGCAAGGAATGAGTAATAAATGAAGGACTGCCGTTCGAGTCCCGGGGAGAAGAGAAGGAAGCGGAGGAATCGGAGCCGAACCCGCGAATAACTTCGCGCCCTCGAGGGTGCTCTGGTCATCCCCACTGGTATGGGTATGGCCCCAGACCTCGCCTCGACGGGAGATGTGCTGCTATATTGAAGGGGCCCTGGGACATACAAATAAATACACACGAATAGCATGATTCCCCATACTTTCCCATATTTTCTAAGTTCTTGTCTTCCCCCCCCACTTCCCCTATTTCCCAATATTTTCCCAGGAATCGACGATTAATGGTGCCTGTGTGTTTTCTCCCCTCCTAAGATACCTGGAACAGAAGAGCCTGCTCAGGATGAAAAGCCGTTCCCGGGGAGCCGGGGCCTTGGTGCCAGTGGACGACTGCCCAGGAGGTCCGACGTGCTGGCACACATCTGGACGGGGGTCGGGGTCGCCGGTGTTCGACCTCCGTGGGGCCGCCACGGGGCCCCAGGAACGCCTAACAAAAAGGCTGCAGGATGACAAGCCAGCCCTGGGGAAAGGGTCGGGGGCCGCGCATGGGCAAAAACAGAGAATCGGATCTCGCTCTCTCTCTCTCTCTGGGTTACCCCTGTTCCCTTCGGGCTTCCCGGGGCCTGCCCCCACCTGGGGCGTTGGGCTGGTGGAGCTGAAATACCATGTTTTCATATAGATAGGGATAGGTTTGACGGTGCTGACCTGAGGCCCAGCCGGTCCTCCAGCCGGCGCAGCTCGTCCAGCTCCTCGGCGCATCGCTCCAGCAGCTCCTTCAGAAACAAGCAAACAAGACAGAAGCAGACACTTCCGGAGGTTCGTGCGGATTTATTGGGTCCACGCTGGGCCCCCTCTCTGGCGCGCGGAGCGAGCCGATCCGCGAAATCGGCGCGGAGCACTAGTTGATCGTTATACCAGCTGCTCATCTTCCACAAAAGGCAGCTATGTTCGCGCTTCGCGCTTCGATTGTCGCGACGCACCAAGACCTTCGCGCTCTCGCGCCGCACCCCTTGGGGAAGGAGAAGAGAAAGAGGAGGAGGAGGAGGAGGAGGAGGAGGAGGAGGAGGAGGAGGGGGAGGAGGAGGATGAATCTCCTACCGCGGACCGCGAGCAACCTCGCCCCCTCGTGGCGGCCCTTGGCTCCTGGCGCCCGGACTTCAGCCCCGCCGCCCCGCTCTCGGTGGACAGCTGCCTGCGCACCACGCTGCCCCGGTGGCTGGCCTGGATGCGCGTGGCGGCCCTCTGCAAGGCGGCGGCGCGCTCCAGCAGCTCCTCCTCGCGGCGCCGCTCCTCCTTCGGGGGCGTTCGAGGGGGGGATTGTTCACTGGTTTAAGCCGGTACTCAAGCCCTAACAGGAGGGCGCACACACGTGTGGATTGGTGAATGCACCTGAGGTAAAGAGATTCAGTACACGGGGCGAGGACAAATTGCAGCACTATCACATTGTTGCTTCTTTTGTAGCGTCTCTTCTACTCTTCCACATGAGAGAGGGGGGGGGGCGTCCAGGAGGGGGGGCGCAAATCCTGACTGGCGACACGTGCGCGGCCCAAAGGGGGGCCGGGGACGCACTCCAGTAACAGGAGGCGCCATGAAATCCGGGGAGAGGCCAGGCCATAGCCCTACCATGAAATCCCTCCCCCCCCCTTGTCCTATCGGCGGTGGACAAACCTCCCTTTAGTAGACCTCCCCTTAGTGAAAACGGCCTAGGACCGAGTGTCTCCCAGGGCCCCACACGTGAAAACCCTCGAGTTTCGGTACTTTTCTTCTGGCGCTCGAAGTCATTTCTGGTGGTCAAGGCTAAAGTAGGTTAGAACATTAGCTCAGGATGAAAAGCCGTTCCCGGGGAGCCGGGGCCTTGGTGTCACTGGCCGACTACCCAGGAGGTCCGACGTGTTGGCACAATCGGCGGTGGACAAACCTCCCTTCAGTAAACCTCCCCTTAGTGAAAACGGCCTGAGACCGAAACCGACGGACCTGGCCCCGCAAAAATGACGGCCGCGACGCTCTCTCGCGAACCGAAAACGGCCAATTCCTCAATCGACGTGTCAGGGTAGGAGGTCTATCAACCTCCGATCTAAAAGAACTCGAAATTCAGGGGTCGCTGGGGACCAGCTTCCACTCCAAACAGCCGAAACCCTTCCGAAATCTCTCGGAAACCGTCTTTGTTGTTTGGAGGGGAAGCCAGTCCCCAGCGAACCCTGGGCTTTCTGATGATGCCCCCCCTTGAAAGCATGGCCCCCCCCTCTTTGCCGCCCTCGCTCCTCCAGCTCGGCCTCCAGCTCGGCCTCGCGCCGGGCGAGGAGCGCCCGCGCCTCCGCGACCTCCCGGCGTGCCTCCCGGCGGCGATTGGCCCGCGCCAGCTGCGGCGCCTGGCCCTCGAGGCCCTGGCGCAGTTGGCGCTGGGACTCGAGGAAGTCCGACTGCTCCGCCTCCCGCACGCGGACCATCTCCTTTCGGGGCGTTCACACGAGGAGCGTTGCAGGTACAAACACGTGCAGCGGAGACGTGCACGACTCTCCGACTGCTCCGCGTTGCAGTAGGAACACGTTCCGACTGCTCCGCCTCCCCGCACGGAGACGTGCAGTCGGGGCGTTGACACGAGGAGCGGTACAAACGGAACGGGGGCCCCTTTTTCCATACAAGTGTATGTTGTTCCCATCCTACTTAAGAGAACCGCATCCCAGAAATAATTTCGAGCACCCGGAAACGTGTCAAAAGAGTGTCGAAACAGTGTCGGACGAGTGTCTCCCAGGGCCCGGCACGTGAAAACCCTCGAGTTTCGGCACTTTTTTCTGGTGCTCGAAATTCTTTCGGGTGATCAAAGCTAAAGTAGGTTGGAACATCATAAATATAAGTGAAGCTTCGCTGTCCCATCGAACTCCAAAAGAACACCTAAGGCAAACTGTAAAACAAATGAGTAACACGGAGCCCCTGCCAAACGAAAAGGGCTCCTTCTTCAGCGCCCTAACTGTAAGACTCGGGTTTGGGAGACTCGGGTTGGCCTGACGGGCCGTCATGAAAACGACGAGACCCAGCCTGATCTCTGACGCGAGCTCCCGCTGCAGCCCACCCCACGAACAGTGGACCGCCCAGGTCCAGGACACGCTCGCCCAAAAGCATCGGCAAACCCGAGCTCCGGCGCACGCGAACCATTTCCTGCTTCACAGTCGTGGGGCGCTTCGTGCCCCTTGCATGTTGTTCCGCAAGTGCATTGTCTTCCGCCGCCCGGCATTGACCTACGCTCAGTGTCTGTGTTCCGGCGCACTGGCAGCGTGCACCCTTGGAGAGGGGGGGGGGCAAAGACACACGTGCACTCTCGACGCGCCGCGCGGACCTCTCCTGGATCCGCGCTGGGCTCCCTCGTGCGCGGAGCGCGCTCGGCGGCGGCGCGGCGCCGAGGGAGCCGCCAGGGGGGCCCCAGCGCCGCTGCGGGACATCCGCGCGGAGCTCGAACGGTTTACGTCCGTGCAGCTGCTCCCACCCCACCGGAGAGATCTGACGCTCCCAAAAGAATTGGATCGGCGGGCTGTTCGCCGTCTTCGGCCTCCAGGGGCCCTCGCCAGGCCTCGGGACCACCAGAAAACGACTCGGGACGAAAGACCGGCCCAGGGAACTGGTCCAGACCTCCAGGACCCACGCATCGAAAATACTGGAGCGGACGGATGTCTGAATCGCCTCCCCAGACCTCCCGGGCCGCGATCTGACAAGCATCTCGAGGCGGATCCAGCGGAGGCGACGAGGGCATCCCAGGAGGCCCCAGACGGCGAGCACGAGGCAGAGGCAGCGGTTCTCCAGCACCATTACACGTCCGTCGGAAGAATTAGGTAAAAACATGAAGAAGGAAGGCGGATACAGTGGATTGGTCCAGGCGCTCCCAGAGAATAACCGAACACAGCAGAATCATGCCGATTCTTCGAGTAGGAAGGCGCAGGAGGGAGATTGGGATCTGGGAATCCAACAACACCTACCCTGAACGACCGGCGAATCTTTTTGCTCCCCCGATCTCCTGGAGCCGCGCCTCCACGCCGCCCACGAGGCGCCTCGCCAGCACCTCCTCTCGGCGGCGCGCCCAAAGGGGGAAGTGAGCGGGGGCAGCCTGCTCAAAGGGCTCGGAAGCCCCCCAGGCGGCAAGGCACCAAAAGCAGCTCAGAGGGCCGAAGAGCTTCTCGAGAAGCCCCGTAGCCCTCTGAGAGAGCCTACCGCGGCTTCGTGTCGTGTCGTCCCAGGCGTTGGCGTTGGTTCTGGACGCCGCGGGGATCAATCAACCTTGAACGATCGGCCGCGTCCGTAACGCCATGTCGTTCCACATCGACCGATTATGGGTCGCCGGTGTCGTTCAACGTTGTATGGTCGACACGAAGCGAACGTTGTCGTACTTCTTCTCGCCTCCCCTCATCTTAGCATGGGGGAAGCGGGTCCTGAGGGAAACGGGTCCTGGACTTACTGGGCCCCAGAAACGGCAGGGCTGCTTTTTCACCGTTTCCGAAAAAATGTCCCTTGAAAATGGAAACGGCAAAAAAACGGCGACCGGAAACGGCAACAAAAACGGCTCCAGGATTGGAACTGGAGCGGAAACCCGTAAACATACGGCGACGGAACCAATAAAAAAAAGGCGTCGCAACCGGCAAACAAAAACGGCAAAACTCAGCTGCACGCAAGAGTGATCCTGGGTAAGAATGACCTTTAGTGCGCGGCTTTTGGGGGGCCGCGGGGGGCCCAAACCTGGGTGCGCAAGCCGCTGTTCCTGCTTCGCTTTCAGCCATCTGGGGACCCATCTGTGCCCGCACCAAAGGTCACTCCGGCGGAAGGTCACTCTTACGTCTAGTCGAAAAAACGGAACCTGTAAAAACAACACCCCTGTCGTTTCCAGGACCCACTAAGGTCCTGGACCTTTGGGCCTCCCCCCAGGATCAATTCTCCATCCCGGGTCGTTCTCTAACAGTTCCGGGGCCCGCGGAGGGCCCTAGGAACCCGAAGGCGGCGAAAAACCTCAGCACCCGGTTCCCGCAGGACCCGCTTCCACTCGCCATCGCTCGGACGCCTACTCTCCGTGCATTTTTCGGCTCCGTGCGTGCATTTTGCTCGCAAAATGGCCCCGAAGGCTCCTCGATGGCCCTCGCCGAAAAAAAAAAAAAAACATCCACGCGCCCGAGCGATGCCAAGTCCGTGCCCCTCGCTCGCCGCCGATCCTTGGCCTCCGCGGCATCCTTCTCGGCGCGTAACGCCGCGGCCCGGCCCTTTCCGGGGGCGCGCAAGCATGGCTTAACGATCCACGGATCTGGCGCGCGGCCGCCAAATCTTTGGATCTGGGGAGGGGCCCTCCTCAACACGCGGCTGGTGCCGCCTCCTTCGGCGGCGGACGCCTGCGATTCACCATGGAAGCGGGACCCGTCGCTGATCCACGCCCCCTCGATCCGTGAGGAGGACGAGGAGGAGGAGGAGGAGGAGGAGGAGGAGGAGGACGAGGAGGAGGAGGAGGAGGAGGACGAGGAGGAGGAGGAGGAGGGGATCGCCTGACCTTTGCGTCGGCGGCGCGCCGCCGCAGGGCCTCCGCGCCCGCCGCGGGGCGCCCCGCCGCGGCGAGGCCGTCGACCTCGGCCTGCAGCTGCCGCGCCTCGGCCGCCAGCGCCGCGCGCCGGCCGGGGCCCGCCGCCGCGGCCTCTCGCGAGAGGGGGGCGAGCTCGAGGAGACGAAACCAGGACTGACGGGCAAATGCTCCACCACCGCTACCATAATTATGTAGGACGGGGGGAAAGGGTGGATGAGGAGGTCCTCCTCCTCCTCCTCCTCCTCCTGTTCCTCCTCTTTTTCCTCCTTTTCCCCCTCCTCCTCTTTTTCCTCCTCCTCCTCCTCCTCCTCCTCCTCCTCCTCCTCCTCCTCCACCTCCCTCTCCTACTCATCGGGAGTTGCTAGAGGTGCCCCCAGGAGAAGGTGCTCGGGGAGCAAGTCGAACCAAGAACTAGGACCGGACAAAGACTGAATCTTCGCAAATTGCGTCGCTCGAGCCAGCCCCCCGCGGAGCAGAAGCGCGACCGCTCGAACGAACGGTCGCACGCGGCGCCCCCCACCCCAGAGCGCCAACCCATACGACGACCCCTGCGAAGGCCCCCGTGCTTGAGACCTTGTAAAGAAACCTGTAGTCACCCTGCAGAAAACACGTGAAGACCAAAAAGAGACCCCTACAAACACATCGCCAAAAACTTCATGAGACCTTCCAATACCACACAATGCCCTGCGAGAGACCTTGCAATGCGTTGCAAGTCCCTACAGCTGGATCTGCGACACCTTGCAGTTGCCCTTCAATTCTCTCCAGCGCCCATCCCTCTGGGCGTGGAACGTTCGAGGAGACCTGTCTTCGCTGGGGGCCCTCTCGCGGCCCTCCCGAAGCTTCTGGAAGGGCCCAGAGGGGGCTCCAAGACAGGCCTGGGAGGACGCCGAGAGAGGCCGCGGAAGTCCCGAGACGGCCAAGAGCGGCCAAAAAGGGCCCCGAGAGAGGCGCATGACGCATCGCGGCGAACTCCGTGTGACGGAGTTTGGCGCGATGTTTGCTAATGCCCACTGGGAGCTCTCTTTGGGCCCTCCCCGGGCCCTCGCGGGCTCCTCTTTGAGATTTCCGGGAATGCCTCGAGGCCCTCCCTGGCCGTGTGATATCGTTGTGGCCCAGGCCCCAACGATATCATAGGGACAGGCTGTCGTGCGAAATCGTTGGAGCCTGAACCCCAAAGACATCGCGCGGCCTAGGGGGGGGCCTAAAGGGATCCACGAGAGCGCCCGGCCGAGAGGGCCCCAAGCGAGCCCCCGAAACCATCTTGGGCCCTTTTGCGCGGTCCTCTGGAGGCTCTCCTGGGGAAGCTGGAGCTACACTTCCATTCCCCCCTGTCCACATCCCTTCTTCCACGGGCGGCTGCCCCATTTTTTGTTTTCACTGCACGATGCTACACTTCCCTGATCATGGCGACTCGCCTAGGCATCTTCTCTGAATGGGGCGGCGGGGATACGCGAAACGAAACGCAATCCCCCTCGTGCCATCATTGCCCTCTCCCAAATCGTTTCACGAAACGAGTTTGACGATGACGCGACTTGACGAAGATTAGTTCGACAAAGTTGAACGGGATATGACGACATTTGACGAACCTCGACGAGCTTTGACGCGAACGACTTTTTCGAGACATCCTCGCAAGTATTTGACGAGATTTTGAAGAGTACCCTCGGCAAGGGGAACTTACTTTGACCACGGCAACTCTGTGCAAATCATGAAACGAAGATTCGCCAAAACCCATCCTCGTCGAACTAGACCTCGTCAAACTAAGGGGGGCGGGGAAAAGTGACATCGTAGACTGCGTAGGGGGTCACGTTGCGACCCGAACACGCCGCGGCCACCGAAGGGGTCACTGCCCAGCACGCTCCTCCGAGCTCCTGCGAACTCCTCCGAAATCCTCCCCCCAGGGGCCCAGAGCGGGCGCTTCGTTTCTTTGGAAATCACCCTCCGAACAAGTGTTTTTCCAAAGCAGGTACAGGCCTCTGCATTTGGAGAGTTCCTCCGCTTTTTCAATGGGTTTGGAAAGGTTGGGATGCTTCCGGCCGGTCTTGGGGCACTCTTGGGGGCCTCTGGGGGCCCTCTTGGTGCCCTCGTAGAGCTTGTCTTGGGGCCCGTTCGGGCCACTCCGAAGGCCATGGCAAGGTTCCAAGAAGGCCCCGAGAATGCTCCAAGAGACCCCCTAAGAGGGCCCGAAAAGGCTCACAAGAGGGCCTGCAAATCGGTCGCGCAAGAGAGGCTTCGCGTTACCGCGCCGGGGGTCCTCGTGGAACCGTCTGCGGGCTCTGAGCTGTCCTGGGGCCACCTTGAGCCTACAGACGACCCCGAGAGGGCCCCAAGACCGCCCCAAGAGGACCCCAAGAGCGGTCACGCGATTCCTCTCTTGCGTGACCGATGTTGGGGCCTTTTTGGAGCCCTCTTGGAGCTGTCTTGGGGCACTCTTGCAGCTGTCTTGGGGCCCCCTTGGGCCCTTCCTAGGGCCCTTAAGACGGTTCCAAGACGGCCCCCAGAGCGATCACCGAGGAGACCGGACGATTCACCCTCGCCGCGACCCACCCGCAACCCACCCGCGACCCACTCGCGACCCATCGGCGCCGCAAACCACCCCAGATCCACCCGCGCCGCGACCCGCCCGCGCCGCAACCCACCCGCGCCGCGACCAAACCGCTAGGACGACGACAACAATATCTTTGCATTGGCATTTCCGCCGTGAATGTCTAGGCGCAAGAAGCTTCGCGTATAAACGAGCTTGGATATCGACAGCCTGGGAGAGAGTCTAACTGTCAATGACTTTGAATGTGTTAAGCCCCAGTACAGCGAGTGAGTGTATGCGCGTGAGCCTGTGCATGGCTAAGCTTAGGGTGAGAGTATCTGCGCGTCAGTGGCCTGAGCATGATTGAGCGTGACTGAATCATCCCGGGGTCTCTTGGGGCTTCCTGGGGTTTCCTCAAGTCTCCTGGGGCTCCTGGGGCCTCCTGGGGCCTCTTGGGGCCTTTCTGGGGCTTCCTGGGGCCTCCTGGGGCATCTTGGGGACTGCTCCTCCTTGAACCTCCTGGGGCTCCTGAGGCCTCTTGGGGCTTCCTTGGGCCTTCCTGGTGTTTCCCAGGGACTGAGCCTCCTGAGACCTCCTGGGACTTTCCTGGCGTTTCCTAGGGCTTCCTCGGGCCTCTTGGAGCCTCCTGGTACCTCCTGGGGCTTCCTGTGGTTTCCTGAAGTCTCATGGGCCCTTTTGGAGCCACCTGGGCATTCCTGGGGCCTCCTGGAGCGGATTCGTGCTCCAGGAGAAGCCCAATACATAAGAACAAATGTAGAACACTTAGGAATGGAACAACAGGAAAGGGACAAACTGTATGAACAGATGTAAAACACCAAAGGCCCGTGCCCCACAGGAGGCCCAAGCTGTAGGAACATACGTAAAATACCTGGGTTTGGAACCGCAGGAAAAGGACAATATGTAGGAACATACGTAAACCACAAAAGGATTCGTGCCCCAGGAGAGGCCTGATCGATAGGAGCATATGTAAAACACATAGGATCGGAGCCGCTCCTGGAGCCCTGGCGGCTCCTGGGGTTCTCTGGAG